TTTTTGGTACCGGGGATGGAACTCGGGCCCTTGCATTTGCGAGGCAGGCAGTGTCACCACTGAGCTAGATCCCCAGCCCCAATATACTGTGTTTAAATCTGGCTTTATAATTTCTTATATTTTTAATAAATTGTTTTCAATTAACATTTTTGAAATTCTGTTTTTTGGGGGTTTTTTTTTGGTACTGGGGATTGAATTCAGTCCCTTGAGCTCCTTAAGCAGGCAGCGGAACCACTGAACCAAATCCCCAGCGACATTTTTGAAATTCTGACCTCTAAGTTAAAGTTTTTAAATTTTTATCCTTTCTGTGTTCTAACATTTCTGAAACAATCATAATAATTGTATTTATAATAAAAAGGCAATGTGGGAAGTTTGACAAAAAGAATATGAGTAATTTAAAAATTTAAATGATAGTACTGAGATTTTTTTTTTTATTCTTACTTCCTTTACTGGGTTGTTTTGGTAATGTTTCTTGCTCTCTCATTACTCGAATTATTCACATATTAACTTCAAAGTACCATGAATTAACTAGATGCAATCCAAAGGATTTAAATAAAAAGATAATGAATATTTTTGTCATGTGAAAATTTTCAAATTTTGGAATTCACTTTAGAATTTTGGAATACTTGATTATAGTTATTTATTCAACAAATACTAGGTACTGATACTGCAAAATGTATAGAATCTCGAGCTGCAGATTTTGGGGAACTGTATGGTAATTTAGGCATGAATTAAAGCATGAATCCCACCTTCAAAAGACTGATTACTTTATAACCCTAAAACAATAAAGATAACATAAAGGGTGCAAAAGATGTAGAGATAATGCCAGGGGCAAAGGAAAGTCCATTTAGACCTCTGAGAACACAGTTCCAGTGAGGCAGAAAGGTGGATGGAATGAGTGAGACCACACTGTGAATTACTATCTGCTTGAGGGTGCCAAGGGAGAGCTAGGGATGTAGTTCAGAGGCAGAGCACCTGCCTAGCTTGGGGAAAGCCTGAAATTCAACCCGCAGTACTGAGAAAAGAAGACAAAGAATGGTAGGGGAGGAGGGAGAAAGGGTAATGGGCAGTGGACTGGAGGCAAGGGCAGGTGGTGGAATTACAAGATACCACATTTTGGATCGGCAGAGGAAATGGAGCCAAGTGAGATAAAACTTAGCACAAAACGAGAAATATGTGCAGCACTGAGAAATCTTGAGAGTGGTGGCCAGTGAAATGCAAAGTCAGGTCACCCCCACAAAACGAAGCTAGTAACAGCAGAGCTCAGGTCTCGGTTTGTAAAGAGTGAGGACTGTTCTCTCTGCAGTCAGGGCTGTGGACAATGAGACAATGTAACAAGAAGTCTATGATCACACATTCACAGATTTCGTTTCCAAACCTCAGTCACAACACTTACCTGCCTATGAGCATCTCGGAGGTAGGTGTCATATCCAGTGCCCTCAACATGGTAGGATGATTTTGCGTCATCCGGGACCAAACAAAGAAAACTTAAATGAAAAAGGCCATCATAATCAATAACAGAGATAACTCTCACATTATCTTTATATCTACTGTATGTGATATCTTAAGTTTAGCTGAGCCTTAATACAAATGAAAACTGGAAAAATAAAATTATAGTTTACTGACTAAATAAACTTTCACTATTTTAAAGGTTTTATTAAAAAGTATCGATCCCACTTAAACTAGAAGTAAGCCTAAGAAAGACTTTTTTTAAAAGATTGCTGCACAAGCCAGATTGGTACATGCGTTAATCTCAGAAAACTGGTTTTTAAGTAAATGAATTTGAGATATTTTTATGTACCACAATTTGCATTTCAAGCCACATGTAATTTTTTTTAATACCACCTGACAGACCCAGTCGTATCAGTGACAGCACTGAAAAGGAAGGAAAAAGAAAATTGCCACAGAAAAGGCACCTTAAAGAAAAGCAAAGACATGAACTAAAAATAAAAGAAATAACCCTGTGCTTATCACACTTGCTTAATAAGCATAATTTGTCAAACTGGCAATTCTCAACACTGTTATAATAGGATTACTTAAAACTAGCCATTTATATTAAAAAAACAACTGAGCTACTTGAGGGTTTACTTAACTACTGATTTTTTAAAAAATTATTTTTCTATTAAGCAGACTTCTTCTAAGGGTAGCTACTAATGCTCCCTGGCTATCACTTGCTATACAGTCAAGATTAAAAACAGACATAATCTTTGAAGAAGGCAGAGTTCATATGTTCCTGTAACAAACTAGGAGTGGAGCTGCTCTATATTATAAAAAGAAGTAAAAGAGATGTAAATAAAATTTGTACAGCAACTCACCTATTTACAATTTTATGGACTTCGGTCTTCCCATCATTCTTGGGGTGGTCTGGCGTAGTGGGAGGTGAAGAACTAAGCCACTCTTGTTTTGACAAAGTATTATCTGGTGAAATGTCAGTAAATAATGGATCTTCTTCCAGATCTCTAAGTTTAATTTAATGATGTATAAAAAAATTATTATGGTATTATGGGTATCTGCTACACCAAAAGATTCTCTATACTCTTAGAAAATATTACATAATTTTTCTAATATATATTTTACAAATTACCATTTTATACTAACAATATCAAGGATATGTTAATTTTGCTAGTAGGCTGAATGAACAGAAAATCTCTTATAATTTAAAATGAAGGCAGTAGTATCAGGACATCTAAATTTTACTCCTATAAAGAAAATGTGTTTTTTCTATAAAATGGAACACTACTCAGGCATAAAGAATGAGAAACTAGAGTCATTCATAGGAAAATGGATGCATATTGAGGTCATACTCTTAAGTGAAATAAGTAAGACACACATGTAAATGCCGAATAGTTTCTCTGGTGTGAAAAACTAAAAGTGATAAAAGATCCAAATGGTATAACTAATAATGTGAAATAGGAAGAAAAGGGCTAAAGGTAAAGTGGAAAGGTATACGGAAAGGAAATAAGGGAAAATAAAAAATACAAGAAAAGGTAAAAATGGAAACAAAGTTTTTGTAAATAGGGAAGGGAGGAGGGGGTGAAGGGAGGGCAGGGGTATAGGGAAAAAATGAGAACCAAGACCTGTCATGTAAAGGTACAAGATCCCAATGACGAATGTAATTGTACTGTATACTTTAAAAGTACCAATAGACTCAATGAGATAAAAATAAATAAATAAGAATAAATTTTACTCTTAGAATTTTTCAAGCAGTTAAGAGTTTGGTTTTGTTTGTTTTTTTTGTTTTTTTGCCTAGGGGCAAGAACTAAGAGAAGGGAAAGTCCTGACCCAGTGAAATTCTGGTGTTCCAGAGGTAGGTAAAAACTTACACTGCGCCTGCTATTAATCCATTCTCTACCACATCTTTGTCCTCTGGGCACAGAGGCTTATATTCTGTATAATTTCTTTCTTCAAGATTTCTTAGGACCAAGTTGTAAAGAATGTGCTCATTGGGTTTTTGTAGAAGATGTTCAAACATCCTCAGTGTCATGATGCTTATCTGAAAGCAAAATTGATAAAAGCTAACTAAGAAATACCTTCACATGAGCTGTTCATTTGCCATCCTGTAAGCCATGCCTTTAATTTGTAAAGCCACATAAACAAAACAGTTGATCTGAAAACACCACAAGTATAGTAAAATCCGTATTTCAGAGACTCTAAGCCCAATACTAAACCATTACCACGCACCTCATCAGATATGTGATCACAATGTTCAATTAATCTGTGCCTTAGAGGGTGTGTGCTAATCTCTGCAGGAGTCTCTGGTTCTCTCTGCTCTCCCAGGATGAAAACTACCATTTCTTGAAGCAAAACGTCAGAGGTTACTTGCCGAACGATGCGGTGAAGCAGAGCCGTTGACGTCAGGATGCCCATCTCGGAACTGAGCACAACAAACGGGTGCTTAGTGGGCGAAAACGACAGCAACAGTGGTAACTTCTGTAAGGAAAGAAGTACTCACGTCTGCATTAACTGAGGTTCCATGACGCCAATGAAAAATCTTTCATGGACAGCTTTGGCAAGAGCAACAGCAGCAGTCTAAAACACAGCATTAGCATCATTTTGTCAGTGGAAAAGAGAGACTCATCCGTTAACATCAATAAACTAGTTTGCACCCCTCATCTGCAAGTGTGGAAGACAAAACCTGTCTACTGACCACAAACCTAGATTAAATGCTGGCTTTTAGGTTACTTCTTTTTTCAAATTCCCCCCAATAAAAGAAACAGTACCAAAAAATTATTTAAGAAACATATTCCCAAAGAGAGCTAGAGAGAAGTCACTGTTGTAAAGCCAATGTCTGTGAAGCAATGTACTATAATACAATATGAAGAAATAGAAAAGAAAAGAACTTGAATTTTGATCTGTTCAGAATTGCAATGCACACACCTGATTTTTGGTTTATTTATTTTACTAAATATACTATCTTAACACAGTTAAAACATGTTTGGGGATATAAAGTAAGGAGTCAAATTTCACTTAGTAGACACTTAAATTTTAAAATGATCAGTAAATAACAAAAATATTCAAACCTTTTGGGCTTCCTTAATGAGCTGATCACAATAATCAAACCAGGAAAGAAATGAAATTAAGGCCCGTTTTCCTGGAAATGCTGAAGCATCTTCTTTATGACTGTATGAGTCCAAGCTGTAGGACAGGGAAGAAACGCTAAGTCCACAGTAATTCGGAAGCATGAATCCTATTCAGTACACACAGTACTCACACTATGAAATATTCACAAAGGCAACGCTGGGTGACAATCAAAAAAGGATTTATAAAAGGAGCCAAAGATAAGAGAAAACTTTTTAAATAATAGCTGTAAATCATTTTTACTTCTTAAGTGGAAAGAGAGAGAGATTAAAACTGAATGAATCAGCAGGAGAAAACCATTTAGACAGCTCCTCATAATTCTGCCATAAACGTGACCGAGTAACTGCAATGAAAAGGCTTAGGTTCTCAGCTGCTGGGATGCAAGGAAAAAAGAAAAAGGAACAGAAAGCCAGTTGCTCTTCCTGCCTTAAATGCAGTACAGCCATAATGTAAACAAGTGGCTCTGCCTGATGGATGTTAGCAGAATATAGTATGGAGAAACAAGTAAAAAACAAAAGGCTAAATATTTGGTAAAAAACAATAAAAAGTAATTATGTCGAAATACTAGGTGTTTATAGGTGGTAGCATTATGATTTTTTTATTTATGCTGCTTTATATTTTTAATAACATAAATGTTCTGTAATAACTATATTTTCCCACGAGAATCAAGGGAACTTAAACAGTGGTAAAAAGGGGAAAAAATGAAATGGAAATAAAAGCATCAAGTAAATATATGAAAAAATGTTCCACATCACCAGTCATTCGAGAGATGTAGATGAAAACAATACTGAGATTCCACCTTATCCCACAAAGAATGGCTGCTATCAAGAAATCAGCCAATGACAAATGTTGGCGGGGTTGTGGGGAGAAAGGAACCCTTCTGCATTGTTGGTGGGAGTGCAGACTGGTGCAACCACTGTGGAAATCAATATGGAGATACCTCAAAGAGCTGGGACTAAAGGTTCCATTTGACCCAGCCATCTCTCTGCTGGGTCAGATAATTAATTTTCCAAAAGAATTAAAAGAATCATATCACAGTGATATATGCACACCCATGTTTATAGCGGCACAGTTTGTAACAGCTAAAACTTAGAAACAGCCCATTTGCCCATCAGTTAGAGACTAGATAAAGAAGATGTGGTTTTTCTATAAAATGGAATACTACTCAGCCATAATGACAGAGAAATTAGAGTCATTCATAGGAAAATGGATGCATATTGAGGATATACTCTTAAGTGAAATAAATAAGTCACACATGTGTAAATACCAAATCGGTTCTCTGGTGTGAAAAACTACAATTGTAAGTAAGATCCTAAGGGTATAATTGACAATGTGAAATGGGAAGAAAAGGGCTAAAGGTGTAGGGGAAGTGGGAAGGGTGGGGGAAAGGAAATAAGGGAAAAATATATGAGAAAATGAAAAAAATGGAAATAAAGTTTCTGTAAATAGGGAAGGGAGGAGGGGGTGAAGGGAGGGCAGGAGTATGGGGAAAAAAAGAGAACCAAGACCTGTCATGTAAAGGTACATGATCCCAATGATGAATGTAACTGTACTGTGTACCTAAAATGTGCCAATAAACTCAATGAAGAAAATAAAATGAAATGGAGAGATTACACACACACACACACACACACACACACAGGCTATAGGACACAGGCGACAGTTTAGAGGCTGTGGAAGTTATTTATAAAAAGGGAGATCCCTCTTTTAGGGATTTGTTTGTAATAAAAATAACAAGGTAGAGTTACTGGTCTTAACATAAGCTCTTAAAAATCGATCAGTATAATGGAAAGGATAAAAAGTACTTCAACTACAGCATGTAACAGCTGGTCTGTTCCCACACCAACTTGTTACCACTGACTGATACATGCAGTACAAGCCTCAAGAAGTCTTTCCCATTTAACAATCTCTAGCAGTGTTGCCTTTTTCGAAACTGAAGATTCCCACTGTTGTAAAAGGTAGGAGTACGAAGTCACCGGTGCTTACCCCCAGTTAATGGCTTCCACTGTTTCAATGTCTAAGGGATCCACAGACTGAGGCAGGGCCTTGTACAGCGCGGCGAGTCTGTCGGTCAGCAGTTCGCACAAGCAAGTGCTCTGAGTGAGGCACTTGGCAGCCGCCGGCTCGGGCAAGCTCACTAACAGCATCAGGCCCTCACAGGCTTTCACGGCTATCCGGCCGTCCTAAGGGGAAAACACAGCACTTCGATTCTTAAATTAAATACAAACAAACAATTAGATTGTTTTGGACAATTCAATCTAAAGGGATTTAATGTTTTATATTAAAAGATTTTTTTCCCACTCTAAATGCATATTATTGTGATTATGTTAGAGGGGGCGGTGAAAAAGTAAAGGCGATGACTCACAGGGCTTCGGGTAAGATTTAACAAAGAATTCACTAAATTATAATCCTGGTTGGGACGGACGACGGAGGCCTCCGGCAGGGACGTGGCGCTGAGCTCCCCCAAGCTGGCGGTCAGCTCGCCGGGCGGGGACCCGTCCTCCAGCTCCGCCGCAGCCGAGGCGCCGCACAGCTCTTCTGGCTCCCGGGACTGTCCCGGGTCAGCTGACAAGGAATCCTGACCTTTCAACGCGTCTTCTGGAATCAGATTTGGTGCTCCTTTAGAAGCCCATGACTTCAACTTGTTCTGAAGAGGAGTACATGTTTTGTAAGGTTCATGTTAAGAACTCTATGCCAGAAGTCACAGTCAGTGGATTTTTCCATAATTAACATTCCACCCGCCTAACTAAAATAGAGGTAAGTGGTGTTACGGCGAATGAAAATGTTCAGACTCTTAACAAAACCTGTTTTAGGCCCAGTTTTAAAACTGCAAAGAATTTACTGACCCTCTGCATAATAACTACAAAATGTTTACACCAATTAAAAGTAATGGGTAGTAATGGGTGATATTCTTTTGTTTTTTTGTTGTTTTTTTTTTGTATCAGGAATTGAACCTTGGACCTTGCGCTTGCAAGGCAGGTGGCAGAACCACTGAGCTAAGTCCACCGCCCCGTTGATATTATAGATTACCACAGTATTTACTACTTCTAAAAGCAGTGCCAGTGGGGGACATTTCAATTTCAGTTTTTTTCTTGTCACTAGGTTACTGCAAATACATCGTCTCAGTGTTAACTTTTCTAAGATCATAAAGGGAGAGGCATATTTATCAACAAAGATACTTTAAAGTCAAAAGTTACCAAACAGACTTAAGGTTTCTACAAAGCTGCCAAATTTTTTTAAATATGTAAGAACTTTTTCTAAGTTTTTTTCCTGAGTTTCTGCTCTCTCTAAAAAAAAAAAACAAAACAAAACACAAAAGGCTGCTTTGAGGATTTTTTTATTTGTGTCTGAAGATAAGATTTGCTTGAAATGCTAGTGTGTCCCCCACCAGACAAACCCAAACACAAAAAGAATCTTTACTGGGCAAATTATCAGTTTCAAGGGAAAAGTACCTTACTTTCTATTTGAACGTGAGCAAAATCAAATCACACACACCACAGGGCCTATCACATTGCTCTGCCCATCACAGAGGCGCAGTAAAGGCTGAATTCAGAGTTCCACTTCCAAAGTCAGAAGGCAGTAACAGTAAATCATTTTTACTGCTTTAAAAGTAAGTGCGGGGAAAGCTCTTGAGTGACTGAGCTTACAGCATGTGTATTAAAAGAAAGCAACTGCTGAAACTCATTGAATACTCCAAACAACGTTTTGCCAATTTCCTACAAAGGTCAATTGTGCGGCCTCATCTTTATGAAAGTAAAACATTTTACTCCATCTAAAAATATTAATCTCGTTGGAAGGGGTGTCTCAAGAACAAAAGGAAGAACCACTCCTTAAGCCAATGTTTCTTAAGTGTGATTCCAGACCAGCATCTGATGTAGAGTAAAACAGAACAGAACAAAAGCAGATTCCTGGGCCCCATCAAGATCTTCTGAATGAGACTATCTGGGGACAGAGCCCCCAAAAATCTGCATTTTGAAAAACTCCCTAGGTGAGGGGTAACTGCTGCCCTAATTCTTACACTTTGCTTGTACCTTGAGGCACCTCACAGGTCCCCACATCCTTGTGCACATAATTCCTGAATGTCTAAACAACCCTCCCGATGACAGATTTGCAATACTACCAAATACCTGCTCATCATCTCCATCCGGGTTTCGTGAAGATTCAAAGCATCAAGAACCAAAGTGATCAACTTCCCCTCAAAATAAATGCTCTCCAAGCTCACTTGCTTCTTTCCACAAAGCAGCTCCTTCCTGGTTCAGGATTGCAAACATCGGACTAGTCCTTTCTCCGCTCCCTGGACCTGAGCAGCTACACTGCGGAGACCACTCTACACCTGAAGCAGTAGAACCCCCTTCATCTCAACCTGCTTTCAACTCCCGCCTTGAGGTTCAACGCCTTGAAAGCTCCTAGCCTGTCTGTCTCGGCTCCCTGGCGTGAATCCAGACCATACTGCTTCTGGAACACAGTCCATTCCTCGAGTTCATGCATTCTTACCTAACGTCTGCCGAGGCACATTTCAGAGAAGACCTCTTTGATGAAGTCTTTCCTGGTGACCCGAAGCACATGTCCTATCTTCATGCTATGGGCACTTACGGCAGTCACTGCAACCTTCCCATGCTGCTCCCCTTGGCCTCCCTTAGATCACTGTATCCGAACATTCACTTTACCATCTTCATCAGACTGTAAACTTCAGTGGTATGCTTCACTGGTAAATGCATGGTAACTGATATAACTCAATACACATCGGATTTCAGGGGACAAAAGCACGAGAACTGCAAAGATTTTTATTATTATCTGTACCTAAAGCAATAAAACTGCATTTCGCTAAAGATGTAGTCATTCAATAAGAGTTAACTGAGCAGTTACTACACTTTGTGCTGGATATTAGACGAGCTGTGGAGACCCAAAGATTAATGAGAGTCCTTGTCCTCAAGGAGTTTATTGACCAGCAGGAGAAATATGAATGTACACAAATAATTCCAATGCGTGGGAGGCTATAATAACAGACATTAAAAGCATATGAACAAAACTAACCATTCAGAAAAATGGAGATAGCTGCCACTATAGGCTCTGGAGAAATATGTACTATGAAACGCAGCCCAGAGCGGACATGTCGCTGTTTGTAGCGAGGTTTAAATGGGAGTATTTCTCTGAAGACAGGTACACCTCACCACTAACACACACAGGCCTGCAAATTTCCTCTGCTTCCAATCTCTGGCTATGCACTTCTGAAGCAGGTTTTAGAGACCTTGAGAAAGAAACTGATCAAGCTTAAATTTGGGGAAAATCTTCTGCAACTAAGTTGCGCTAAGGTACCCCCAAAAAATTCTCAAAATCTCGTATTTAACCAAACGGATCTCCTCTTCCATCTCTCAGTTCTCCCTCCCTTCCTTTCCTCCCCTGTGGTATTGGGATTGAAGCCAGGGCCTCCCCTCTGAGCTACATCCCTAGCCCCTTTTCAATTTTTTAAAATTTTGAGACAGGATCTTACTAAGTCACGAAGTTACCCAGACTGAGCTCCAACTTGCAATCTTCCTCTTTAGTCTCCCACACTACTGGGATTATAGGCCTGTGCCACTACGCATGGCAAACTGATCTGTTTCTTATAAATACATTAAAAACCGAAAGAACCATAATGCTTCCCTCATTAGTAAATCTGTAGAAACCTGGAATCTAGAATACTAGATGAGCTGTGGAGATGTCTTTGAGCTCAAGGGGCTTACTGACCAGCAGAAGAAAATGAAATATACACAAATAATTCCAGTGCTAGGGAGGCTGTGATAACAGACATCAAAAGCATCTGAACACTCCTATCCACTTAGAAAAATGGAGCTAGCTGCCACCTCAGGCTTTGGAAAACGAATTTTGAAGCAAAGTTGCAAAATAAGACACAAAATACCATGCACGTCATGAGAAACAGGCATTTGCTGTCTTTAACACTAACTACAAATTTAAATTTACAGTTTTGCAGATGGGCTGCTAATGTACTTCCCCAACAATGCATTGTAATAGGATCCTAAATTATTTATTTAAAACATGTGAAATAGAAGACAAATCCATCCATTAGGACGGCAACAGTAAAAAGCCCGATTAACACCCAGTCCTAGGTAAGAAAATAGAATAGGAATTTATACACCCTGCTGAGGAGATGTGAGAGGACAAAGCCACTATGGAAAAACACTGGCAGTTTCTTATGAAAATAAGTATACATCTACAACATAACCCAGTCATCCTACCACTAAGAATGTTTCCAAGTAAAATGAAAACCCAAATTCAAATAAGTTTGCATCTGAATTTTTTTTTTTTTTTTTTTTTTTTTTTTTTTTTTTTGGGG